GGAATCTAACAGCAAGTGGACTAGGCCTAATCCCCAAGGCTCTTACCACTATGGATTGATCAAGACTGGCCGAACAATCATTCTTGCAAACTCTGCACCTTTTATCAATGGCAAGCAGAGGTATGCTGTCAATAGTGTCTCATTTGTTCCTCCAGACACTCCATTAAAACTGGCAGACTACTATGGCATTCCCGGAGTTTTCAACCTTGGAAGTATCCCTACCAGTCCCACCTGGGGAAATGGCTATCTCCAGACTTCTGTCATGTCTGCGAATTTCCATGAATATGTTGAGATTGTGTTCCAAAACTGGGAAAACACAGTTCAGTCATGGCATATTGATGGTTATTCTTTCTTTGTTGTTGGGTAAGTCTGACCTCATCATCATCCTTGATACGATTAATTGGTTATCAGATCTTTGAACTCATGATCAAGTCTATGATAATCTTCTTCGTTATGGTAACAATTTGTTTGATGATAATCAGGATGGACGGAGGGCAATGGACGCCTGCAAGTAGAGCTAAGTACAATCTGAGGGACACCGTAGCTCGATGCACGACTCAGGTATAATCCTTTTATCAAACCATAACCATCCAATTGAGCTGCAACATTGTCTGATATGAATGAATTAACCCAGGTTTATCCAAGAGCATGGACAGCAATCTATATAGCCTTGGACAATGTGGGAATGTGGAACATAAGGTCTGAGGATTGGGCTAGACAATACCTTGGACAGCAATTTTATCTTAGAGTTTACACTAATTCACGTTCATTAAGAGATGAATATCCAATCCCAAGAAATGCTCTCCTCTGTGGTCGGGCAAGAGGGCGTCACACACGACCTCTGTGAATCATATAGATATCGATTTGTCACGAGTGGGCGACAAGTGACACGATTTTTGTGGAGAAGTATGTAGGTAGCTGCGGGAGAATGTTGTAACAATAGCTCATCTCGAGCTCAGAGTATTTTACTTGTTTTACGATGATACTGCACTTGTGAACCTTCCTACAAAATAATATGCATTTTTAGTCGCCATGGTCTACGGGTGAGAAGCTTATATGGCTGCAACCGAGGATTTGCATAAAAATAATAACTATCATTCAAATTAAATATTTCTATATAACTATATCGATCGATTCTCTAAAATTTTTTTAAAAATTTCTTAAATATTCAGAATTTACATATACGATTAGCATACTTTTAAGTGTTCTAATCACTAAAATGTGTCATTCGAATTTAAGAACTCGAGCATATTTATGATATTTAGAGTATTTAAACATATATATATATAAATTTACCATTTTAAAGATTCTAAAAATTAAGAATCAATTCAAAACAAAATTACAAAATTAAAACTTGAATTACCCCATTAACTCTTAAAAGACCCATAATTTAAACCTTATTTGAGAACTACAATATAACACATTTTTTTAATATATATATACATACATATATGGGAAATTGAGTTGTAGTAGATATTTCAAAGTTGAAATCCATGGAGGGCAGAAGAATATTCCCCCCAATTCGAAACCGTCTTTCTCTGCTCTTGTCACCATCACCAACATGATGCCACAACCCGACATTTCCAATTTGTTTCGTTCATACCCATGTGAACTCTAATTTCCATTTTCTTCAATTAATTAATTCTCACTAATTATACCCTCAAAAATATTATATTATTCGTATAATTCGCACATTTTTCTAATTAAAAAACTTATATTTATATGTCAAATAGTGACGGTCCAAATATAAAACGTGTCATGTATATCCAAGTGACACACAAAAAAAAAAAAAAAAAATCATCTTTTTTACTAGTCAAATTCTAAAATTAAATCACCTAGACTTTAATGGGTATTCATTTTTATGTATAAATATATATATATATACCTCGTATATATATATACACACACACACACACACACACACACGAGGTATATGTATATACTTTTGGGGGTGGGGGAAGGAATAAAGGGAGCTGCCAAGTTTGATGATGTAAAGGAATAATAAAAGAGAAGGGAAGACGTACTACTTTAGGGTTCTTCTTCTTTGGTATGTTTCCTTAGGTGATGCAATTAGCTCATACATATATATATATATATATATTATGTATGTATGTATGTATGTATGTATGTATGTATGTATGTATGTATGTGCGTGCGTGTCAATGGCTCCATATTTCCGCAACACGCCCATTCTCATAACGTCTCTTTCTCCTCTAGCTTTGTGCAAAGGAGGGAGGGAGGGTAAGGGCGTGTTTGTTTTTTATTGA